ACTTCAGATGATGGCAGGGGAGAAACTAATATCCTTGCCAGTCTGGCTTCTGTCAAGATGCTACAATATCACAACCCTAAGGCGTTAAGGGTTACTGCCAAAGTGAGAATTACAGCTACCCACTGGAAAGGAAATAGTGTAGAATTAACAAGCAGGTGAGAAGAAATTACATCATTATTTGCTGACCTTGTGAGCACAGGTTTACCTGTTCAAACTTTCCTCAATCTGGATTTAGTCACAAAGATCACAGCCTCATTGAGCCCTGTGAATTGAATGGATGTGTCAGGTAGTATGTGACTTAGAATGTCACTGGGTATCAGTTCCTTCAAGATTTATCCATGGTTGCAAGATTCTGAGTAGGTCTGTCTTCCTGTTTTCAATACTTAAAAAATTTATCTCACAGGAAAAAAGGGGGAGCTCCAAAAAAGTATAGACGAAAAGCCTCTATACACCGAGTACAGAATCACTACAGCCAACCAAGGATTAGGGATTTCAAGGATGGATTATATGATTCCCATTTTTCATGTTCATAGCTGATTAGCTATGTCCCAGAAATGTGTTGTCTTAAGCTTCTGCATTATCAAATTGTTTTTAAATCTAGGCATCTCTTGGTACATATACTATCATTTGACTTTTGAACAAAAATATTGGACAAACTAGAGACAGTTTAGTATAGGGGTTGAGACATCAGGCTAGAATTGGAAAACTGAGTTCTAGGACCACCTTCGGAATAAAGCCAGCAGGGTAACTGAGGCATTCTCTCTCGGGCTCTTGGAAGCAAGCAAATCACTTGTAGGTAGGTAGGTAGGTAGATAGATACAGTCATACATACATACCCTATTAGTTTCAGCCACAATAACCAGATGCTTCTACTTTATAGAATAGAAAATCTGTTATAAAGTCCTTATAAAGTAATGAGCAGCACAAGCATTGTCATCAGCCATTCAGTCGTGTCCAACCCTTTGCCAGTCTGTGGATCTGAACTCTCCATGCCCCTCTGTCTCACACCATCTCCTTCCGATCTGCCACTGGGTCATCCCAAGTGCCATCCTTTAGTTCAGTTCAGCCAACTGGTGCTAGAGCAGCCCCTTCTCTTTTTTCTGCTGATCACTCCCAGAATGATTGACTTTGTGAGTGAATCGGCTCTCATAATATAACCAAAGTATGACAGCCTCTGTTTGGTGATTCTGGCTTCAAGTGAGATGTTTGGTTCAGTCAACAAGATGCATAATAGTCACCTCCAACACCGTAGTTCAAAGATGTCCACCTTTCCCCTATCAGCCTTTTCCATTGGAAAAATTATTGCATTAAGTAATCTGCATTTGTTTGTGAGGCTGATGTCTTTACTCTTCAAAATGTTATTCCTGCATGAATAACATCACAGTTCTTCCAAGTGCTTTCCACCTTCTGATCTTACAGCTGCAGTCACCACTTCGGTTGATGTTAGAGCCCAGGAAGATGAATTCCTTTTACTGTTTCAATGGTCTCGTTGTCGATTTGTACTCTGATCTATGTGTTCTCTGCAATTGTTGTTATTTTTGTTTTCTTAATGCCAAGGTACAGCCCAAATTTTTTACTATCATCTTTGATTCTCAGGATTAGCTACTCTAGATCCTCCTTGCTTTCTGCAAGCATATCCTGTATATCAGAGGTTGTTGATATTCCTACCACCAATTTTAACCCCAATGGTAGATTCTCCCAAAAGTGAATTTCTCATAACTCTGTGTACATGTTGAATAGAGTGTGTGATAGGATGCAATCTTCCCAAGTGCCTTTTCCAATTCTGAACCATTTTGTATCTCTATATATCATTCTCACAGTGGCTGCCTGACTAGAGTACAATGACTGAATGTGCTGGATGTAGTGTGGTGATATTTCCAGTTCTTTGAGGCAGTTCCAAGGTTTGTCATGGTCAACACAGTTGAAGACTTTTGTGTGGTCCATGTATAAGTTTTCTTGGTATCCCTTTGCTTTTTCCTTCATTCAAAGTAGATTGGCAACATGATCTCACATTCCTCTTCCTTTCTGTAATCTTCTATAATCTTGCTTGTCAGGCAGTTCTCTGTTGGCGGTTGGATTCTAATGTTGCTGAATTATCTTCAAGAAATTTTTACTCATGTTCAGTATCAACGCTATAGTTTGGTGGTTAGAAGTCTTTTCTTAAATATTGGAATAAATATTGACCATTTCCACTCTTTTGGCCACTGACCAGACTTCAATACTTTGGCAAAGTACTGTCAATATTTTTGTTAGCAGTGGTCTCAGCAACTCCGCAGGTATTCCATCAATTCCCGGGCACCTGGTTGAGTGCCTACATTGCTTCCTCCTTCCAGGATAGCTGGTTCCATTTCCGGGAGGTCAATTTCTCCTGTAGCACAAGCAGTGCCACACTAACTTTAACATTTATGATGGCTCTGTATTGGTGAGAACACCTGGGGCAGCATCTGCATGTATTACACAGGATTATATTTAATGAATATATTCTGTGGTATATGTGTGTGAACTGAACAGATTCTGAGTACTGGCATTGGAGTAAATCAAAATAGCATAATGTCCCATTCACAAAGTCAAACATCTACATATTACTTATTTTTATATGTTATGTCTTCTGATGTTCTTTAAACTGCTCTTATTTATGGTCTGAATATTGACCAGAAATGTACTATAATGAAATAAGTCTAGAAATAGTTTATATAAACTTGCCTGAAATGGAAATATCTTGTACAGTGCTACTTCTTATGCAGTTTGAATAGTTTTCTATTGCTTCTACAAATCTTGAGTATTTAAAAGTCTAAAAGAAACCACTCAAAAATTTATGAGTACTACTGAAGTCCCGAATGTATTTTTTTCCCCAAAAGCAATTGGACTTTCTTGGTATTTTCTTGAAAAATATTTTGCTTCTCATCTAAGAAGCTTCTTCAATTCTGAAGAAGCTGATTGGATGAGAAGAGAAATATTTTGGAAACCCCTTTTTAAATATTTTTCTTTTCCATTTTGCTTAAACTTTTTCTTTTTTTTTTCTTGCACGTTGTTTACTCTTTGCTTTCTTCCTTTTTTTCCATTTACATTAATGTGGATTAGTTTTTAACTTTTTAAAAGAATTTCAAATAGAATTATTAAAACAACCAATTTAATTTTAACACATGTTCAACCAGATTGTCAAAACAAAGCGTTAACAAATTTTGTAATTGCAGAAGGACTTGTAATAAGCAAATCAAAGACTGGCTTAATAATAGCTTCCTCTGAAATGAAAGAGCAGTGATCCTGAAGTCTTAGTGATCTTCATCCATGAAATCAGTACAACAAATCCCCTTGCTAGATACAACCATGATTAGGACTAAACCATGCTTTAACAATCAACCAAAAAAGGCCATACACCTGGATCAGTCACAAGATTTCATGACTATCACAAGTTACAACCATGATGGGTAGACTTATTATAATTTTAACTCAGGGACTATCTATAGCAAAGTATTTTTGGTAGATCTCCCTGGCTTGGAACCTTCTGTTCATATTACTGCAGACAGCACAGGATCTTTCAAATTAACAGCTTAAACATGTACTAATATTGGGCTTTATTACTCACATGCCCTCTTCTTTAACATTACATACAAAATTACAATTGTTTTAAAGTTAAAGGTTATCAGGCCACTTCCTGAGACACTATCCATTGTCGATAACATTTTTTAAAAATACAGATCTTTAATCACTAATATTGTGATTATCCAGAAAATATTACATTATATCTTGTTAAGAAAAGCATGTGTACCAGCCATTACTCTGTCCTGAGAAAAGAAGTTATCTTCTATCTCTTGTTCCTTTCTTTTGCCATAATGCAAATTTGCACAGCTTCCTTGTCATGATTTTCTTTATAAAATGTCAAGTACTCCCCATATAGAAACAGAAATCATTCTTGCTTTTTTTACAGACTTCAGTCAGCTCCAAATAAATTAAAGGAGGGAAAATATTACTTTTCTTCCTTGGGAGTCTGAATGGTCATGAAAAGTAAAAGTTATATTCAATACGCTTACAGATGCTATTCATTTCACGAATCCTGTTCCTCTGCCAGGTATTTTATCAGCACCACAATTTTTCTAGCTGCCCAGAATAGGACACGTGTCTGTCTCTAAAGTCTCTTCACATACCTACCTCCCCCCCACATTTTTTTTAAATAGTTAAGGTTAGATTAGATTCTTCTTTCTACTGTATTCAATTTCACTGTGTGAAAAGCTGTATTTGTATCTCTAAACAGAAGCATGAAAAGGAAAAAAAATAACTCAATAGACATTACTTTTCAGAATCTGTAACCAGAGAAGTGAAAAATCTTATAAAAGTGCTTTTCACACAGCTATTTAAAAATATTTGAAAGAATATTTTTATTCTTTATTGAAAGAATTCAAGTATACATATACAACATTGCTCAGCATCAAACTTCTTTCTGCAGAAGCCACTTATATTAACTATAGAACATGAAGAAATTCAACAGGTATAGCCTTATTTCCCACTGATGGAAGGCACATATAAGCCTGTTTACTTTGTTTCAGTTAAAAACAACACTGAGAAGAAAGCTGGTCCCATTAATGGTCAAAAGCAGCACTGGGGAGACCCCCCTCTTTTAAGCTCATTCTAGCTTAGCTGGATCATTTTAGGCTACTCTTTCAGCCCAACCTAGCTCAGACATTGTTTAAAGATCAAATGAAGGGATATCCCTGCCCAAGTTGTTCAAACAGGTAATAGTAATATAGTGATATAAGAAAGTATTAACACTTCCAGGTACAGGATTTTTAGACATTCAACATGCACTGGAACTGTCCACGGAAAGCTCATGCAAAGTCCATGCGGAACGGTACAGCCACTCTTCCATTACTACTGGGGCTCCGCGCGGGTGGCGACCGAGAACTACCGGGATTTCGGCTTGACGGGCCACTCCGCAGGTTTTCCCACGGCGCCACCCCCGCAGAGCCACCCCATTCGGCTCATCCCTCCTTTCCTCTACTCACGGTAGAGAAGTTGTGTGGGCCGCACATTTCGCCTCGGAACTTGCAGGAGAGGAGCATGTCGTCGAGGCGGTGGCCGAGGCGATCGACGAACTCTTCGCTGATGCCACCGAAGTGGCGCGGTGGCAAGAAGAGCCGGAAGTCGGCCAACTTGGCGAACCAACGCAGGCGCTCCGGCTCGGCGCGCAGGAGCTCAGCAAGGAGCGGCCGCGCCGTCCGGTTGGGCAGAAGAAGGCCGAGCCAGTTGCCCGCGTAGTACAGGTCGCCTTTGGAGAGGCGCAGGAAACAGAGCGGATTATTGTTACACAACGTGACTGCAGGGAAGGCCAGCTGACGGCTCCACTCGGTGCGCACCGTCGTGTGAGACGGGAAAGCCAGCCAATGCAGAAGCCGATTAGACGACCACGCCAGGAGTAGACCCAGCGAGGTTCCCAGGGCCAGAATCCACAGTGCCCGCCGCCACGGGGCTGCCCTGCGCCAGCGTACAACTCGCAAGCCCGGCACCCTCGGACGCTGTCTGGGCCGCCCCCTCGAAGCCCTCCGCCGCCGTTGCGCTGCCGCCATGCGACCTCCCCGCCTCCCGCGCCCTCGCAGGGGGGGCAGCCGTGGACCAGCAGCAGCGGTAGCATCCAGAGGAGGGAGGGCAGGAGCGCTTGGCCGAGGGGACGGCCGCTCCGCTCAGGTTCGGACGGACGCCGGCGGGCGGAATCCTCGTGGCACCTCAGGGAAGCCCGGAACCCGAGCGCCTCCTCTCCCACCAGCTTTGCCGAGGTAGGCGTCGGTCTCTAGCGCTGCTCATCTCCGCAGATGCAGGCAAGGAAGAGGAAAGGCGGGTGGAAGAAGAGAGGAAAAGAAAGGAGGCGGCGCTGAGCTCCGCAGTTGCTTCGCTGGCTATCCCTCAGCGCCCTTCGCTAACAGTGGAGGGAAGACTCAACGGGGAAATGGGAATGAAAGGGGGCGGCTCTCAACCTAACCTCCCCCTCCCCCGGGCCGACGGGACTCCCACTCCTGTTTGCAGCAGATCTACCGCCACACTTGGCCCGCGAAGAGCAACCTCTTCCGCGGGGAGAGCGAGGATGCGCTGCGGCTCCTCCTCCTCCAGGAGGCTGGGGGAAGGGGCGTGTATGACCAGGCGGGGCGTTGGGGGGGGGGGGGAGGTAAGAGGTGAGATTAACTCGGTTAAAAAGCGCAGATATTATTATAATTGCCTTGCGATGAGCTGAGGCCAGCATCAATCTTGCCGAAGGAAAAAGATGCGTCATAAATCCTTTAGCTTCTGAACTGAATGGTGCACCTTAGCCGAGACTGGCGTTTTCAAAAGTTATTTTTAAAGGGTGGAGAGGGCACGAGGAAAAAGCTTGCCAAGGCTTTAGGTTTCTTTCTCGCACGTGTGTCACTGGGGCTTGGAACTGAACGCAGTGGAATTGTGCACCGGCTTGAAGATACTACTCGTGTATATATGTTCCCCATGGGAAACGGGAATCACTAGGTCCGATCCTCTGATTTAAGGTTAAAGGATTCACGACAGACAGCAAATTTGTTTCTTTCATCATGTATTTCCAAATATTTGAATGTATAGAATCCTCCTGATGTAAGGCCATCTGTGCTCTTTCTAAGTGTGCCAGTTTTGGGTTTTTTTTTTTGCATTTTATATAAATTTCTTTCTGAATATTTTGATAGAATAAACATTATTCAAAAACAGGCTGAGACTTATTGATGAACCATGGTTAAGAATGAAGGGAGGGAGGGGAGAGGAGAAGACAAAATGTTCTGGAGGGATTAACAAAGCAACAATACACAAAGGAGAAATGTAAATGTAAAATGTGGAACCAAGTAAGCAACAGGTCACATTCTGGTTTCTTTTTCAAATTCTGCCTTAATATTTAATTAAATTATACAGTCCACTTACTATAAAAGCTCTGGAATTGATGGCTTTTTCAAAAGGATTAAACGCTTCCATCACTTTTATAGAGGTGTATGTTAGCCTGATCATGGAAAGCTCACTTTCAAAAGCATTGTGCTTTCTTCACTAGTTGCTAGGGGCAAACTTTATACAGTCATTGCTACTTTATTCTAAGCTTGTTGGCTTTCCAAAGCCATCTAGCTCCTGATGAATTCTGCATCTTTAATTCAGTTCCCATGCTTTTTTTTTTTCTTAGCCTTATCTTTGTGGTAACCGCCCGTATATTTTTCTTTTGTCTACAATTTCATTTCTTCTCTCCCCACTTCCAAAGAAATTAATAGAGCTCATATATGCAGGTAGTTCTTGAGTTAAGATTACAATGGAGTTCAAAATTTACGTTGCTAAGTGAAACATTTGTTAAGCAAGATTTGCCACATTTTTTTGCCACAGTTGTTAAGTGAATCATAGCATTTGTTAAATTAGCAACATGGTTGTTAAGTGAATCTGGATTCCCCGTTGACTGCTTGTCAGAAGATCGCAAAAGCTGATCATATGACCCCAGGACACTCCCAACTGTCATATATATGAGCCAGTTGCTAAGCATCTGAATTTTGATCATGTGATGATGGGGATGCTGCAACTCTCATAAGTGTGAAAAAAAAAATGGTCATGCCATTTTTTTCAGGGCCGTTGTAACTTTGAATAGTCACTAAATGAACTGTTGTAAGTCGAGGACTACCTGTAGAGCCTTTTAGTTTAAAACAGCATTCCTCTATAACTAACCGCAAATTACCGCATTTATCAAAAAGGAAAATAAGTTCTACCCTATCTCCCAAATAATTTACATTTGAATATGAAGGTTGTCAAATTTGTTAAGAGTATAGTAATGAAAAAATTAACCCATTTTATTACTGTCAAATGGCCCAAAAGCAAGTTACAATTTATAATATAAACATTGGATAAACCAGTTTAACAAGTAAAATATTTAATAAATATTAGTTAATGCAATTTTTAAATGACTCAAAAAATACGGCATTTAATAAATCAGCGAGCTAGATTTTAAGTGTTATGTAGTATTACTTAAATACTTTCCTTGTTAAACATTTAGGTTATATTTTTTAACATTTGGATCCTTAGGCTACAAATAAAATGGATTAATTAATGGAAAGAGCCAAATATTTTGACTTTACCTTCCTTTTATGGTTAGAATTTGTCTTAATTTTGTCTTCCTTTGGGGCAAATGCTGCTCACATAAAGAAATCTTGCTGCTTTATCCCTTTTTTACCGCAAAAAAAACCCAATCTGCAAGAAACGGCTTTTGCCTTCTGTATGGATTGATGATTTTCTGTAAGAGTGATAGATGACTATATATAATGGACAATGATACATGATTGTGCAGATCCAAAAGTTGAGGTTTTTTGGGAGGAGGGGGATGTGGTCTAGCATCTCTTTCAAGATGGCACATCATTTTCTGAATTCAAGAAGTCCTAGTAAAATATGCCTTTAAATAAACAGGTGGTGACAGATACAACTCTACAGTGATTCATCTTCACTTTTATAACTCAAGAATGCATTTTCCTAGTGCTCACACCTTCTCTATGTCACCAGGAATAGTGCAGCACCTTTAAACAAGCACTATTAGGTGCTCTTAAGTGCTGTTCCTTTCCTCCCTCCCCAGTACCTTTTCTGCTTTGAATTTCAGTGGAGATCTGTAGACTATACTCTTTAGTGTTCTGTCACTCTAAACTTATGGCCTCTTTTCATAAGAGGCTGGAGATGGGATTCCAAGCAATGGTGGGATTCAAATTTTTTTTACTACCGGTTCTGTGGGCGTGGCTTGGTGGGCGTGGCTTAGTGGGCATGGCTTAGTGGGCATGGCAAGGGAAGGATACAATAAAATCTCCAGTCAGAGGGGGGTTTTGCCGGTTCTCCGAACTACTCAAAATATCTGCTATCGGTTCTCCAGAACTGGTCAGAACCTGCTGAATGCTACCTCTGATTCAGAGGAAGAGGTGGCATTCAGCATTGTTGCCTGAGGACAACAAAAAATTTTTGTTGTCCTCAGGCTAAGAGGACTTCAGAGAAGCAGAGATGATAACAGCAAATCTCCTGGCTGGGCTTGGTATTATGGCACAGCTCCCCCAAAACCATGGGTGAAGTATAATTAGCAAGGTAAACTCAGCAAGGAAAGTGCAGACAGAAGCATCAGAGATCTTATACTTTTTTTGCTCAGTTGGGTAGCTTTATATTTTCCATCCTTCTGTTGTTTTGTTCATCCTATTTATAGACTGCCTCTTGGCTTTGATATTTGGAACTAAGTCTTATATCATTTGGTACATTAATCCCTTTTACTTCATCGGTTTTACTAAAATAATGTAAAACTTTATTTTGTGTTACTCTGACATTGAGTTTGTATTAATACACAGATTGAGCTTAATTAAAAGAAAACACTAGATATTTATTTCAATTCTTAGACCCAGGAAAGGAGAATTTCCTGTTGTGTCTCATCTAGATTCCCCATCCAAGAACTGATGGTAGCAGTATATCCTCAATTTATAACCATTTGTCTAATGACTATTCAAAGTTAGAGTGGCATTGGAAAAAATAACTTACACTTAAAACCATTGCAAGCATCCCCATAGTCATGTGATCAAAATTCAAGCGCTTGGCAACTGGCAGGTATTTACAATGGTTGCAATGTCCAAGAATTAGGTAATTAGGCTATTCGCAACCTCAGCCAACTTCCAACAAAATCAATGAGGGAAGCCATATTTGCATAACCACTGTATGTCCATTTAACAACTGCAGAGATTCACCTAACTCTGGCAAAAAAGGTCATAGAATAGGCATGGCTCACTTAACAATTACTTTGCTTAGCAATAGAAATTCTGTTCCTAATTGTGGTTGTAAACATCTGTAACTACTTGCTGGGATGGAACTAGGTGTATGGCTACATCCATCACCCCCAAAGTTATGGGGAACAATGGGCATTCCAGGAAGAGATTTGTAACATTTATTTGTTAGAGATGCACATTATAACTGTTGTAATAAAAACAGATGTATTCAAGGTTATAGAAGAATACTAATGGCACAAGAATTTCAATTCCTCTTCAATTAAAAAAACAGGTTGCTGTCAAAAGTACCCAGCTTCTTTGTAGCTTGAGGCTAAATGTATGGGTCTTGCAAATGATGTTTAGATTGCTGCAAATTCAAGAAGCAGATCTATTATTGTCCGTAGAAAATCTCGGTCATCCAGGTCATAGTTGTCCCAAAGGTGATTTTTTTCAGGAGACAACTGGACTTTGTTTTTTTCTTTCGAAGATGTTTCACTTCTCATCCAAGAAGCTTCTTCAGCACTTACAGGATAGTGGACAATGGAAGGGTTTATATTGCTTGCAGACAGCTGGTCGTTTGCATCCTTTTAGAGCAGGGGTGTCAAACACAAGACCTATGGGCCGAATGTGAGGCCATCCTGGAAAATGTAAGGGGCTGGCCCATGTCACTTTGGCCCAGCCTACCCAATGCAAAGAGCAAACCTCAGGCCAGCATGGCTTCAGCTCAGTCTACCCAATGTGAAGAGGAAACATTGGGCCAGCGTGGCTTTGGTCTGTTCTACCCAGCGCAAAGAGGAAATATGTCTGCAGTTTGGGGAGTGGCATCA